CCATGTGCCACTTCTGGGTCCCACCCTTCAAATAATCCAGCATAGGTTTTCTTTCTTTCTCACTAAGAGATGGAGGACTGGATCCACAGATGGAAGCCACTTGCTAAGGATGGCCAAGCTGCCAATCAACCCTGAAACCCTTTGACTGTTGGACTGTGGACATGACAGATGAGAGAGAACTAAACTATCCTCCTTAAGCTGCTGGATCTTGGGGGGATTTGCTTCTTTGTTTTTGTTTTCGAGGGCAAAAAGGAGTATCTCTCTCCCTTTTTTATAGAAGCGTAGGCTACCTTAACTAATATAATATGCAGTACTATATGTATTTTTCTGGATCTACTTAATGTTTACTTTTTAAGGAAGTTTTTTTTTTTTTTTTTCTTTAAAGTGGATGGGATAAGGAAGTGGATACAGTAAGTGCCATCAACTTTTTTGGGTAAGTTGTGTTGCGAAAGGGAGCAGTAGCTGGATAGATATAAGGAGTCAAAATACAGTTGTGCATTTTAATTTTGATAGAGAAGAGCGATTAGAGCACAGGAGGGCTGACTGGCGTCTGATGGGGCGAGCCTGGCTCTAGCGGGAATGGACGCAGAAAACAAGCAGGTAGATCTGTGGATGCAGCAGGGAGAAAGGCTATGGGAGATTCAAAAGTGCCTTATGGACTTCAGAGGAAAACCAATTTTATAACAGGATGAAGAGTATCTGCCTCAAATCAATGGCCAGCACCTTACTTTGTGGTACAACTCTAGGGGCCTTCCCGGTACAGTGGGAACAAGATGAAAATGGCGCTATTCTTATTCCCATTTTACAGAGGAGGAAAGGGAGGCTTAAGTAAACCGCCCAAGGCACTGGTAAGTGGTGATGCTGGGGTTTTACTGGGTCTGTATGACCACTACACCTGCTACCAGTGCTTTGAAACACCGAAAGCCTTGAATGAGCAGCAATAAAGACTCAGCACAGATAAGATCATCTCCTACATTCTTCCATTCAGCACTTTTCTGGCCAGAGAGCAGCAGGTCCTCGTGCCTGGGTGGCCCAGAGGCTTCAGGCCACAAGGGATGGTCCTATGAACCATCAGACATACGTGTGTGTGCATGTGTGTGTCTGTGTGTGCATGGAGGATGCAGAGTGGTCCAAGGATACAAACATACATCAGAGCTCTGTCTCTAGTTCAAAGCTATCCTCTGAAGTGCAGGAGAGTTGGTGTGTTTTCGAACACAAATGTACTTCGGAAAAGGAAAAGACTTTTTAAAGGTAAGCATCTCTCATCCTCTGTCTTCATTCAAAGGACCAGAAAAGTGGTGTTTCTGGCATGGGCTAGAGGCAGAATGCTCCTTAAATACAAAGCCATTCAATCCCATGCAGCGGGAACCTGATCGGGGCCTCCTTTTAATTTCCTGACAAGAGCTGGCCACTAACCCAATTACCCAGAATCCCCGGAGGAGCCCTCCGCCTTCCCACAAGCACAAAGAGAGTGAGAGCATTTTGCATCGACGTCAGCCTAGCTTTCACTGAAATCAAATATCTTCCAGAAAACACTTGGGGAAAGGTGGGCGGGAGCTCAGGGAGGAGGCAGCGGAGTGGGACCCGGAGGCTGCTGACTTGAGGGAGGTAAAGCGAGGTGAGGAGAAGTTTGCAGGGACAGCTGTCTAGGGAGAGTTGCTGGAACCCCAGAGCTGTCCTTACGCCTTGGGGGGCCCTGCGAAATGCAGCAAATGTGTTTCCAAGTTCTACTGGGTTAGAGGCTGGCAGGCCACACCCTGGCCAGGCTGCAAAGCCGCCTGTGGGCGAGAGCCCCACTGGCTTCCCAGGGGAACCTCTCATCCGGATTTTAGACCCCAGACGGGGCCAACCCGAGACGACACCCCTAAGATTCCCCCCACGACTCCACACAATGGGCAGGCCACCGAAAAGCAGAGTGCAAACAAGACTGCCTTTGAGTCAAATCCCACTGCAACACGCCCAGAAAGCGGACATCTGAGAGCAACCCCAGTGCAGGACTTGTCCTGAGAGCAACGAGGACTTGTCCACGTGGTCCCCACCTTGACCTGCTGACGGAAAGTCGGGGCCAGCACCCCTGCTCTGCAGGTGAAGAAACGAGGCCCAGGAGTGTGAGGACAGCATGCACAGCCCGAAGCCCAGAGCCAGGAGGAGGACCTCCAACCCGACCCCCAGGCACCGACCCCCAACCGGTGCAGATTCTCTACTCAATTCTCTATAAAGACAATAATGACTCCCCCTAGCCCCCAAAATACAGATTTTTATAAACTGAGTTTGCTTAAAGCAAGAGAGGCCCCTGGACATGGGCCACACCCCACCGCCATGGATTCCAGAGCCCACAGCAGCCTCCGGGCAGGGGCTGAGCCGACGGAAGCCAGGTCCCACCTGGTCAAGCCTGGGGACACCCCAGATCACGCAGCGTCCCGTGGAAGAAGGGTCAGCGTACAGATGTAGAGGTGAGATGAGAGGAAGGGGAGGCTGGCGTCCACATTCTCCTCTTCCCCAGCACCCCCAGACCCAGGACTCCAGCCCGGAGCTGAGGCCCACTGTGGAGTCTCAGAGGGAGCAGCCCGGGAAGGCTGGGGTTTGCCTTTCAGTCAGGGCAGAGCCAGAGAAAGACAGAAGGCGGCAGGGAGCCCGTGCTGGTCCCTGGGGCCTAGGCTCCTGCACATCACGGGGGACATCCAAACAAAAGCAGGAGCCAGGGCAGCTGCCAAGAGCCCCTGCCTGGCAGGGACCCGGCTCCTCGATGCGCACGTGCCCCCTGAGGGCCTCTCCCGGGCTCTGCACTGGGGCGGAACCGGCGGAGGCCCTCCCTTCATCCACACTGGAGACTCTGGGGCATCCTTCCCCCCTTGGATTCAGAACTGCCAGTGCTGGGGGGGGGGGTGTTCTGGGGGCCGCCCCTTCCTCCTCCAGGCACAGCTCCTGAAAGGGCCTCTCCAGACTGGACCCCAGGAAGTTACCTCTGCACACCAGTCCGCTCCTGCCAAAGCCTCGGTGCCCCAGGCTGCCACCCTGCCTAGAAGCCGTCCTGTGCCCTGGTCCTGGACCAACCACAGGACTATTTACAGCAGGGGTTGGTCAAGATTGGCACCCACCCCCACGGCCCGGTTTCTCTCAGGCCGCGTCCCCCCGCGCCCCCAGCCCATCCTCCTGGGACACACAGCATCCCTCTTGCTTCTCTTAACCGGGTGGCCAGGTACCTCGGCTGTGGTTGCTGGTCAGTGGTGCACTTGGCCACCTGCTTCTCTGCCATCAGTGGATCCCCCTCATCATTCCCTTTCGGGGGGGCACTAGGAAGTACCCCCCTTTTCTAAAGAGACTCTTCACTGTTCCAAGGTGGCCCAGGGCTTTTGAGTGGTGGTCCCCACTTTTCCATCTCTCCCTCTCCCTCCCCTGCTCTGTGGCTACAATCCCAGGCTTAGGTGGCCTGGGTTAGAAGCCTCCCCTATTCCTGACCTGTCCATGGCGGGCAGACACGGGAAGCTCCAGCCTCTGGGCCCAGCTCCTCTCAAACCAGCGTGTGACTGAGGGTAGGAGTCGTCTCTCCCCAACCCCTACAGAACTTGGTTTTTCACCCTTAAAATGTAGGAGCATGTCGACAGCAACGCACTTCTTTCTGCTCCGAGCTCGTCGGAAGCTGTAAAGTGGACAGAGGTCCACGTTCTCCAAACAGGAAAGGCCACCGGACGGCTGGCATCCTGCCTGACCCCGCGTCCTGACAGCGCCTCCCCAGAACAAGGTGGCACCTGGAATGGAAGCCAGAGGGCGGGGCCTCCCATTTCCACAACACAAGAAGGTCTGAGTCACCCACTGACAAAGCATCTTACACTGGGATCCTCCTGCCCAGAGCACACCTGGAGAGCAGGATGGGAAGGTGCCCCAGGGGCTCGTACAGGCTGGGCTGGGCTTCCGGAAACTCCCTCCAGGCTGCATTCTAGTCCTGCCCTTCCTTTTCTCTCCCAGCCCCTCCCCACCACCCCTTCATCAGCCCACACTGCTCCTCCCGCCCTGGAAGGACCCCAGAGCCCGGCCACTGAAGCCGACCTGTGAGAACTCCCACTGGCTCCCCTTGAAAGCTAGGGAAGGGGAGAAACACACACCCTACCCATTCCCCAGAAGTGCTACCCCACAAGAGTCAACCTGAGCTAATCCACAGGGAAGGCAAAAAGGAGGGGACCTGGAACAGCACTATCCCAATAATGGGAACCACATGTCCCCTTAAGCTCCCTGGAAGCCGTCCTAAAGAAGGTAAAGCGAAGAATGTGACATTCATGTCATGACATGTTTTGTTTAACCCAGTATATTCAAAAAGTTGTCATCTCAACTTTTCCATTGAAAAGTTGTTACTATGCTATTTTACACTCCTTCTATCATCCTAGTAGGTCTTTGAAACCAGGCACGGATTTTGCACTCGGAACCCGTGGCTCGCATCGCCCTGTAGCTCTGGAGGAGGAGGAGGGCAAAGGAAAGAGAGGAAAGGGGGGTGAGAGGGCTGGGAGGAGGGACAGGGAAGGGGGACTGTCCCCAAGGGGACAGCGATGTCCTGTGCACCTGCCGGGAAGCAGAGGCTGTCCTTCGCAGGTGAGGCGTGATTACATGTCTCTGCTCTGCGCACCCCAACTCCACGAGCTCCTGGGAGGGAAACCACCTCCAGCCCCCTCCTCCCAGGGTGGAGGGGCTTGCCCTAAAGGAGGACCCTCAGCAGAGCGCCAAGCCAGTTTCCTAGGGCCCCCGTGGGGTGCCTTCCTGACGCCCCGTGTCTCCTTTAGGAGCGGAGAGCTGGGCGGGAGCTGGAGGCTGCGAACCTGGCACAGGGCGTGAGGGAGAAGGACGGGCACTCCCGGGGCAGGGTCCCAGCCCGGACGTGCAGAGGGGCGTCTCGGGTACGAGGACCCACGGACCGTGCGCACCTGCGCTGGCGGGGAGGCCCGCAGCTGAGGGTGTCCTCCCAGGCCCTGAGGCCCCTCGGCGCACCGCGGCAGGGTGCGGCCTCTTACCTTCCTTCAGCATCCCCACTTTGAGGCATTTCATGAAGCGGCAGGCCTGGCAGGACTTCCGCCTCCGCTTCGTGATCTCACACTCGTTGGTGGCCGGGCAGCTGTACTCGATGTTCCCTGTAAGCAGACACGGACAGCGTTGCCAGGTGCTCTGCAGGGCCCCCACCTGCCAGCCAAGGCTGGGTGGGGACTACCCAGCCAGACCCACACTGCCCCCGCGCCGAGGTTCCCACAGGCCAGCGGTTCTCAAAGTAGGTGCTCCGAGGTGCTCGTCCAAATGTTTCCAACTCTCCTAAATATGGGGACCCAGTTCTCGAGTCTGGGCGAGCCAGGAGGCCACAGCTCGGAAGCCAGGGGGTCACCCGCGGGGCTGGGACATCAAAACTCCCTGAGGGGCTGTCCTCAGGCTGCAGTGTACATCAGTCTCCCCACATGGCACATGGAAACCATTTAGTATTGGATTTTCTGAGAACACGCATGAGCCAGCTTCCACCAACGACCAAGTCCTTTGAAGTGACACAGCTACTGAGTCCCCGTGACAACGTGCCTGACTATGTACTGAGTACTCACAGCGGCCCCGTGCGTGTTCTTGGCCCCTTTCTGTGCTGGGGAGGACACTGAGGCTCACAGAGGACAATCTGCCCAGGGGAGCTTTGAGATCTCTCTCCCTCTGTCTCTCTCCCTCTCTCTCCTCTGTCTCTCTCCCTCTCTCTCCTCTGTCTCTCTCCCTCTCTCTCCTCTGTCTCTCTCCCTCTCTCTCCTCTCTCTCTCCTCTGTCTCTCTCCCTCTCTCTCCTCTGTCTCTCTCCCTCTCTCTCCTCTCTCTCTCCTCTGTCTCTCTCCCTCTCTCTCCTCGTCTCTCTCCCTCTCTCTCCCCTCTCTCTCCTCTGTCTCTCTCCCTCTCTCTCCTCTGTCTCTCTCCCTCTCCCTCTCTCCCTCTCTCTCCTCTGTCTCTCTCCCTCTCCCTCTCACCTGCCCTCTCTCTGAAGTCCAGCCAGCCCACACCTTTTTCCATCCTGCAGGGAGGGGGCTGAAGGTCAACCTCTGTGCTTGAGGATGGGCGGGGCCCAAAGGGAAGGGATGAAGATTCATGTGCCCCTCTCCTCTATTACCGAACTCTCGCCATCTCCTAGGTCACTGGCTTGTGTGGCCCTGGGAAAGTTTCAATGCTCGCACGATGAAATTTACCAGATAGACAGAAAGAAAAAAACCCATACATGAACTAACTTATCCAAGTCTATCCTGGCTTAGAAGCTCTGCGGAACCTGGCCCTGCCCCACCCCACCTATTGCACCCCTGTCTTCAGCCTCGGCACCCCTGTGGCTCTGCGTGGTTATCGGTTCCTGGACTCAGTGGCCCAGGCCTCCAGGCCTTGGCTCCGGCTGCTTAGAACAAGCCCTCTCTGCTCCAGCTCCGCCTCGCTGGCCTGTGCGCACCTCTGGGTCCCACTCAGGCAGGTGTTCCTTCTCAATCCCGTCACCTGTGTTGCAACCACCCGTCTCCTCCCAGACCAGGAGTTGAAGTGCCTGGCACACAGTAGGTGCTAGCACTACCTAGTGCTTCCTATGAAGCAGCAACGGTTCTGCTTTCCGTGCACTGAGCCTGTCCCTTTCCCAACAACCCTGGAGGTAAACACCTTTCTCTCCATCTTACAGATGAGCAAGGTGAGCAGCGTCCTGCACAAGGCAGAGCAGGGACTCGAACCCGGGAGGTCTGCTTCAGCCTCTGCTCTGAAGCACTGCAGTGAGCCCCAGGACCCGCCTCGGGTGCCACCTGCAGGCACGCTGCTACCTGTTCACGTCCCCTGGTCTCAGCTGCACAGCCAGCGTGTCACCCCTTGAGGGAGGGTGGTGCCAGGTTTCCCAGGGTGGCTGGTCCAGCACAGGGTCCATGGCATCTGCTGATGTGATGCTGGACAAGGACAAGAGGACTGAGCACTAACAAGAACTTGAGCCACACTCGACCGAGAGAGAGAGAGAGAGAGAGAGAGAGAGAGAGAGAGAGAGAGAGAGTTTTCTAATTTTATTTATTTATTTTTGTTCTTTTCAATTTCTTTTATGGCCCCAGCGGCTGACTGCCAGCGAAGCCAGGCTGGTAGCCTTGTAATTTCTGTAAGTGCCTTCTCGATAAAGTGATGAGATTAACTCATCCGAGTTCCTGTGGTCTCTTGAGGGCCGTCTAGGAGGGCTCAGGAGCAGGGGGCATTAGTCTCTCTCTCTCTCTCTCTCTCACACACACACACACACACACACTGCCGCCACCACCACCACCGAGCTCAGGCGTGGCAGCTTTGCGGGGGCTCTCACAGGACAGTGACATGGGCACTGGCTAGCACAGATTCAGGGTTCTAACCTGAAAGTGTGCCCAGTATAGACACAGGCAGACTCCACCGCGGGCAAGTCACCTCACTTCTCTGGGCCCCAGTTTCCTCATCTGTTAAATGGGCACCGTAGGTTCCCATTTCGTACAATTGTGCGGATTGGGTGACGGAGCACGGAAAGGGCTTTGGGACGCGCATGTCTGGGCAAAGAAGCAATCGGCTACTGGGCTTATTTTTCCATCTAGACAGGGCTGCCGGGGCACACACGGCCAGACGGCGGTGGGTAGTCTTCTCCGGGTGTCAGCCCCGAAGCTAGCTGCCCATTCTGACACGAAGAACATTCAGACGAGCCTTCCCCAGCAGAGCGCAGAGCAGATGCCGTGTGTGCCTGTGGGAGGGAGGCAGGAATGCCCAGAACCTGACCTGAGGCAGAGGGGACACCCCCACCATTACTCTCCCTGATCCTGGGCCCCAGGAGAAGGAAGCCCGGGGGCACCCCCACCAGCTAGCCCTCCTGGGACAACGGGAGGGGCAGTACTCCTCTCTTGGGGCTCAGGGACGGGGCTGCTGGCTGGCGCCAGAGCCTGGATGGCCACCACTTTCAGCTGCAGGAGCGAACAGGCTGGCCGGGAGTCGCTTGGTTCCGCTCCCTCCTCTCTCTCCCTCCTGGAGGACACAGACTACCCCTTTGCCTCTGTGGGGCCGCTGCCTCCGCGCTCCTCTCTCCCCTCCTCCCGCCCCCCAGCTGGATGACCTCATCCCTGCACTGTCTTCAGCTCTCACAGAACTGCAAGGACAGACGGGCAGCCAGACCGACTGCCTGTGCTTCACCCCGACAGCTGTCTACCTGCTGCTTACTTCCATCTGGAAGTCCCCTGGGTCCCTCACTCTCCTCAAACTGAACCGTCCTCGCCCAGCAGGTTCCTCGTACTGTGTTCCCTGTCTCAGCAAAGGGGCCCCCCGGCCGCCCCACCCACCCAGGTCAGACGCTGAGGTGGCCTCCTGGATACTTCTTACGTTCTTTTTATCCCCGTTCCCTGCCATTTCCTCCCTCCTTCCCCTCTGCCTCAGCAGTTTCAGCTCTCGGCCCCTCTCGGCCCCTCTCGCCCACCTCCAGTGTGCCAGCCCCTCGGCCCCCCTTCCGCCTGCCTCTGGGCACACTGCTCCCTTCCCTGTGCCCGATCCCTTGCGGGCGCTCTGGTTCATCACGCACGCGGAGCACGTCTGCCGGCCTCCCGTGCCCTCCCGTGCCCTCCCGCGCCCTCCCAGGGCAGTGCAGGACCGAGAGCTGCCAGAGAGGGACCAGGTGGAAACCAACGCGGCGGAGGAGGGGACTCCGGATCGGAAGGAGGCCGTGTCCGGCAGAACCTCAGAAAGCCTCCGGTGTGGAGGACTCAGGACTCAGCGAAGAGGGAATGGGCGTGGGGCTGAAATGGGAACTTGCTGGAAGTGTGTACTCAAGGCGCACTTAGCTGCCACTCCATTTGGCCACCAAGTACCTCCCACGACCTACACAGGAGGAGCCAACACAGTCCCCGGAGAATATGTGCGTGTGAAGTCTGGACTCAGGCCCCCCTCGGGGCAGAAGGGAGGTGAGGCTGAGAAGAGGATGATAAATAGTGTATACTGAATGATGAGACCACCCAGCCCACCCCAAGCCCACTCCCAGAATTCCAGCAACCAGGTGAGTATCCACCACCCCTCCAAGGAGAGGATAGGAATTTGGAGGAGTCTTCCCAAAGAGGGAGAAGGAACAGCATCAGAGAAGAGCCCAGTAGACAAAGACAAGCCTGGGGAACGCTCCTTCTATGCTTTTTTTTAATCCTCACCCAAAGGTATTTTTCCAATTATCTCAGATAGAGTGGGAGGGAGAGAGGGGGAGAGAGAGAGAGAGAGAGAGAGAGAGAGAGAGAGAGAGAGAGAGAGAGAGAAACATTGATGTGAAAGAGACACATCGACTGGCTGCCTCCTGCATGACCCCGACCAGGGGGCCGGGACGAATCACAACTGAGGTACGTGCCCTTGACTGGAATCAAACCTGTGACTCCTTGGTCCGAGGGCCGATGCTCTAACCGCTGAGCCAAACTGGCCAGGGCTCCTTCTGTGCTTTTTCCCCCTGTTTGCATGTAAGACAGCCAAGGATTATCAATCCAGTTATGAAAAGCCTTCGATATGAAAGACTAATCAAAACAAATGGGAGAGAAGCATGTGGGAGAAAAGCAGGACAAACCAGGCAGCAGAAATAAACCTCCAAAAGCAGTATTAGTATACTGTTGCCTGAGAAAAAAAATACTGCATTCCTGGAACAAGAACTGGGTACAGTAAAAAGTATAAAATGGGGCGCGTAGAAATTAAAAGCACGAAAACCACAAAAAAAGTCAAAAGAATTGTCTAAGGAGCTACTTATTCTAGAACAGACCAAAAACCAAAGAGCTGGACCGACAATAGGCTAGAAAAGATGGAAGAATCACAAGACGGATACCGGAAGCTCCGTGTCCAATCATCAGGGGTTTCTAAAAGAGAAAACGGTGGAGAGGGCAGTATCACAAAGGGAGGGATGAACACATCTAAGATTTAAGAACATGAGTTTCCTGACCAGAAGGCCTGCTGAGAGCCCAGAAGAGTGAACGAAGAAAGGCCTGGAGGAAATTATGGAAGTGGAGGAGAAACTGGCGGCCAGGGCCAGGGCCAGGGAAAGAGGGAGGTGGCCCGGCTGTGGAGCGGTGCCAGGCGTCCTGGGCTGTGGGTCTGTTGTAACCTTGACTGCAGTGGTCCCAGGAGTCCTCACAGCGATGGAA